TAATTGAAATTGACATTTATCGTTCCATCAGGAGAAAATTCTCTCATACGATTTATCCTTTTATTAATCTATACAACAGAGTTCACCATATTGTAGCTGATGAGACGGTAATGAACCAAGTGAGGTACTTGAATCAATATAAGGGATCACAGACTAATATGTCCATTGGTGATTGGAAGGGTTCAATTACCGGTGGATATATACTTACAATACACAATCATGGAGGCGCTCGCAGACTGCTCGTCCGCGTAGGTAGATATGACGCACGTGTACTCGCCGGTTAAATCAATACTGGGCTTATTCAGTTTCATAGCTCGGTACTTGGTGAACGGGTCGTCACTGGCTTTGTACTTCAGGTCGACGTACTTTCGCGTAGTATCACCAGCGAGAGGATCCCTCCCGTATATCCATTGGTAAGCCACTTCATTGGTGTTGAAGAACCATTTCACGACTAGTCCATTACTCGGCGTGTTTTCAAGATCGTAGTCGCAGTCCAGAATCACGTAATCGGTCTCGTCGGCCTTCACCATCGCTGGTACGTTCACGCTTTTTATTGTTAGCTGCCAGCATTCTGAAAAATAGAATAAACACATCGGTTTAAAAAAAAGAATAGGAAAACAACTTATTTTTCTATTCTTAAATTATGAAGAAAGACTTGAATTTAAATATATTTTATTCTCTTTTATTTTACCCATTCTTAATTTCTTAGATATAATAAACTTGCTTGTTCTTGTATTAAATTAAGGAATAGTTCAAGCATAATAAATATACTATTTCAAAAAATAGAACTATGAGCTGATTAAAGACTGAAATTCCAGTACATAGATAAATCATTGGATTCTGGCCCAAGATACACATGAACTGCACGTTATCACTATGTAGAATATACCAGGGCAAGCGTTCCTATGTAACAGCGAGTAACTATTTACTCGTTCGCTCTATGCACATACTGGCTTAAAATTGAATGAGTACGTAAAGTAAGTGCTTGTAATTTTTTTCATCAATGCTGCGAGTAACAGTCTTTGAAGATTGAGTTATCACTGTCAGTTATCGTTACGACGAAGGCAATAAGTTCATTGTCACATGATAAAAAGTGAAACAGTACGAAGAAGGGGAATAAATGGACGTTCATAATTATAAAATATTGTCGCAGGGAGAAAAACTCGTCCAATTAGCAGGAAAAGCTTTTTCCATCAGACTTTCTTCCCCTAGCCAGCAATTTTTTCCGCCTGGTGAACACTGACCGCTCGCGTGTCTCGCGTTTTAGCTAGCCGGGAAGTTCCTCGGATAAGCGGCACATCGCTTTGCTTACAACGAAATTCCTTACGGGAAATGTACGATAGCGGAGTTGTATGAAGATGTTTGAGGCGCAGTCATGAACTCTCGGGACGAGTACAAATGAAGAAGGAATCGCCTGGGCGTTCGTTATAAATATTTCTGTACCGCACTGGTAGTTACTAATTACTCAGATGATTGAATTTAATTTTCCGACGGTGCAAACAGACAGTCGACGGAATTCTCCGGAGAGCTTTTCCACTAAACTGTTTCATAATTTCCGTTTCGTGCCACGTTCGCAAGTAGATCGTGAAGTGCCGTAAAAGGAGTGCTCGCCAACTTCGTCAACTTTGATTAAAGGTCCCGGCTGACCATGTAATTTCGTAATCATGTTCTGGGAAACGACATAGGTTTACATTCTGAGAAAAGTACACTTTCGTTCACAAGTTCTAAGAGTGTCCACTGTCTCTCGACATGTTCTGACAAATATTCCAAATTGGGAACCATCAGAGACTATCTAGTCATTATTAATAGACAGCGAATTGTCACGTAAAATGAAACTTCATGTCAATTTATGTTATATTTTCACACATTTATTTCTATTTGTAAATATGACACGTAATGCAGTATAAAATATTCTTGAGAAATTATATTCTTATCATTTTCTTTGTTAATTAACCAACATTTCGTATTGCCTTCAATTTCATCTTGCGAATATAAAAACTGGTACTTTACGTTTACGCTTGTACTATGGCTACAGTTTTTACCTGTGCAATAGTGATAACGATGAAACCCATTCGTTTGAAACTAAGGACAACAGTAAAACAGGAAAAGCGCCCGATACCGTTCACTGTTCGAAAGAAATATTATACCTCGTAACGCGTGTTATTAATTACAAACGTGATACGATCGTGCGATGTAGATTATTCTCTCCGGTGACTGGTTTGGATTCACTAATCATAATAATTACGCGATTGGAGCCATTGCGATTCGCAGCTGGTTTCTTCCTACATCTCTTCCGGAACGTGATCTCGTGGCGGTGCATAGAGAGCTTTGGCAGATCACCACCACCGATACCGTCCACAATATTATGATAAATTACGTATAATTATGTCGGTAGCTCGGCACGCTTCACGCGATGTAAGGGCAGCAACGACTTCGCTCGTGGCAGTTTATCCGACTGATAAAAAGGTGGACGAAGGAAGCTAGACGCGGGAATAAACGATTTGCATGCTACCAACTTAATCAGCACCCACACCTTATGAACGATTCTTTACCACCATCTACAACCGAGCAACGTCTCCTCGAAAGGGCTTATCGCGAAACGAAAAATGGTGGGAAGTCATGCTCGCCAATATTTTCCCCTCGGCCGACCATCAACCTGGTTATACTGATAATCTCCGGCTTGCATCACGCATAGGAGCAAACCGGTCGGATGTTCATTGTCGACCATTGTTAGCGATTGTTAGCCAATGGGTATATTATGTTACGCGTTTCATGCATAATAATAGATTATATATAGTAATAGAACGTCCATTACTGATTATGACTATCTCCGATCATATCTCGTGTTTTTATTTAAGATAAACGTGAACATCCACTGCTCTCAGCTGTTGCAATTTATTAATTTCCATGTACTAGACAGATCATTGAAATCTGCACACATTTTCAGGGTTCAAAGTTATCAATTTATAAATAAAAGTTTCGAAACTTGTTTTATAATATCATGCTTTGAAATTCCTTCGACTGTCACCCTTGAGTCAAGTCGCTGTGACAGATTGGAGGAATGATAAACAGGTGCGACTCTATCATTAAAGAATTAATAATTACGAATTCATAAAGAATTCCAAAAATTTAATTCAAGATTATTTTAAAATTATTCGGATATGAATCAGGAATTCTCGAACTGCATAAGTGGATATGAGCAACCGTTAAACAGTGTGCAGGATATGATCAAGCAATACGTTTCGCATGTAAACTTCACAATACACCTCGCGCAGTTACGCCGACTAAACGTTTCGCTTTAAAGCTTGCCAAGTTTCTCAAGAACCTGCGAAGCAGCCAAACTACGCTCGCATTGTACACATGCGTTGGACTTCCTCGGTACATCAAGCCGAATTAGTGTTGCTTGTTTACGATAATTGTGTGTAACGCTAATGTGTGGTACCAATTCTGGAGAACAAGAGAAACAGGAACAGAGAAAAATTGATAATCCGTAATTCACTGGTTTCCTAATATCTACACTAGCATTCCTACCACATTTTCGCATTATGAATTTGTAGAATTAAGTATTAAAAAATCAGGACGATGTGCCAAACATGTGCAAGTCTGTAACTCATCAAACTTAAAAAATATCGAGAAATCCGTCTATCCCTTTTTCCAAAAATGTTCACATTTACAGTTCTGACTTTACGAAAATCTGTAAAATTTTACACACGCGAAAAATAAAGCGAATTTTCGAATTCGCTTGGCGACACCAGAGTTGACTTCCTTGCAGGCAGAATAAAGAAACAAATATTTTTTCTCCATATGGAAGAAAGCCATCCCGAACGGTGAAGTTTCTTCTTCTTTCTGTCTCCCTCTTTTATTTCCCTCGCTTCGAAACTATCATTCTTCGCGGTCTACACGCGTACTTTCTAGAAGAAGGATATTTATCATACAAAGTATTCAACGGAAAAACCTGACTCGCCTAGAAAGCGGGTCATTTTTCAATAACGGTCGTGTCAAAAACCATTGCACACGCTTGTAAGTGAATCCTCCTTATTTTCATGCGACCTCTGACACGTGATATCTCTGCACAGATTGAAGAAACGTGACACTGACGTAATAATAAAAAATGAAATTTTATAAAAAATGGTTTTATTCATTAAGTAAAATAGTAACTATAGATAAGTTGCAAAAATTTTCTCAAATCTGTTTATCGCGAAACTATTCAATCGTCAATGATTATGAATATACGAAATCGAAGGAATAGCCACAACGTAGCAGCAGGGAATCTCAGCGTATTTCCCTAAGACGTAGAAATGATCGATATCGACGTGGAAACAGTCTCGAATATGAACGGAAATATAATCGGCCGGGCCGTCCAGACAATTCCCTGCAGCGATATTAACTTGACTCTCCGCCATGAAGCAAACACAAGAAACACGATATCAAAGCCGACCAAATTCGCGAATTCCCTCATTGTCAGTCAAGAGGAGGTCTTTAAACTTTGAAGACGCCCGCCCGCAAACCGAGGGAACGAGGCGAGTGTTTCTATGCCCGGACGAAGAACAAGGACTCCAATTCTCAGTAGAAATCGTCGATCCTCCACGTCAAAGAGACCCCCATCACCACGAATATGGATTGAGGCGGCGGAATTAATTAATGGCACAAAAGAATTTATAATTGATGACTGGTCAATTTGGAATCTCATTAAAACCCACGCGCTCATGGGATTATCATAGAAACAGGAAGTCTCAACCTCACGAGGAAACAAGGAAATTATTGTCAAAGTGTTTATAATCGAACTAATTGAAATTTCGATACCTCTTCATGAATAAGTTAACATAGGAAATTATATAAAGTCCCGAATAATCAAGCATTTATATCCGTAAATAACAAATTCAATCTCAGCTGTCGACGAGTGTCTAACAAACTGCATTTTAAAGAAAATAAATAATGAATGCTTCCTTGAAAGATTCGCAAGTTCTTTCTTCCATATTTAACCAGAATCAAAGTAGATACGATCCAGTTCGAAGGATATCAATAATGAAGAATCAGTTCTCGGATGCGCAGAAAAAATAATTCATTAGTATAATTTTCAATTTGTCTTCCGTGGAGCAAAACCGCGACGGCACGACCTCTCGACTAATGAAGACCGCTGGTTGCACGCAGGTTTCACAACTAGTTTCTGAAGTCGCTTCATTCCGCATTCATTCCTCCTCGCATTCAATTAAATAATACTTCTGTAAAGCCCAGTCGCCGCCCCGGGCTAACGAACGGCCATTCTTAAAACTCTGTCACACATTTAACACACTCGCTTATTAAGAATACCCGGACGCGTCAATTTGCATACAATTTCAGTATTGAGCGCTTAAACGTACTTCAATCATTGTTAGACAAAAGGAAATAGACTATATTTCATATAAAATTGATTAATCCTCACAAAACTAGGTTATTTTATATTATTCTCATAATTTTTAAATAACGGCGTGTCGACGCTCAGGTTTTAACTATTCAGGAAAGCGTGAAAGAGGCTGACAAATCATTTGAATGAAATGCATGACACTGAATAAGTCTGCCGCATTTAAAGAAGGCATTTCATATTCCAAATAAT